CCCCCTCCCCCCCCCCCCCTCCATAAGAAGCGACCCACGCGCTGCAGGTGAAGATGGATGTTTACCACAGTCAGCGCGCCGTGCTACGAGCTCACGGTGCTGGTATCCTGGATTCTGGCAGCTCCTTTCTTGCCCTGCCGGAGGCATTTTTGGGTTTGGGTGGGGTTTTTGGGTTCAGGTTTTGAGGCTTCTTTTTTTGGGGTTGGTAAAGGGGCTCAGCCTGAGGTCTTTCGAGGTTAGGGGCTTCGGGTGTCAGGACAGAAGGCTGCTGAGGGATTATCATAGCCGGGCCCGCAGACCCGACGACTCTGGCAGGAAGTGCTCGGCTACGTCGTCCTGGGCCTCGTCTTCGGCCACGGGGGCCCAGCGAACCTCGCGGTGATTGGGTCGCAGAGGCTCTTGGCCAGGTGCACGGAACTAAATGAAACAAAGACATTTCCATGCCTTCGTGGGGTGCTAGATGCTCTGACGTGTTTTTCTTTTTTTTCCCTCGTGGGTCTTGCTTCGGTTGAGTTTGGAGAACATGATTGAAACTGTGAACCTTGCTCCATGGTGCAGCTTGCAAGTCTAGCCCGACACCACCAACCCAACGCTTGAACCTTCTGACGACGAGCAGGTGTGGTACCACTCTTAACGACCTCGTCTTCGAGGTGCCGGGCGAAGACGGACGCACCTTGCAGGTGAACCTCACAACGGACCCCGGCGGTTGCTGAAATGTGGCTGAGATTTTATAGAAGTGTTTCGGTTTTTTTTTGGGGTTTTTGGGCCCCACGACAGGATGACTTGCTGGAGGAGAGCCCAATCTCGCTCTTATCCGACTGGTGCGCGCTTCGCATCCTGCCCATCCCTAGGACCGCAAACATTCCTTTCATGAGACTTGGGCTGACACTGGGAAACGATCAGCTTGCTTTATGCATCTTGCTGGGATCCACACTCTTGGGGGAATGTGCTGTGGCACGGTGGCAAGTGGCCCCTAGGTTCCTGAGCTGTCAGGTCATAGCCCTCGCAGCTTCAACAAACAAAAGTGCGCCTGAAACACTGAGATTTCTGAGCATTGGAATCCTGAAGTTATGAGAATCGAGCAGTGGTGTGGCTTCGGGACTGGGACTGAGCCTCAACCTCCGAAGTAGCCCCCACCCCTCCCCCCAAAGCCGCCAGCCCCCTCTTCTTGTGGCGCCAAGGATCCTGGGGGACCCCTTCCTTCGCAAGGTCTCCGCTGTTTTCGATGTCCAGGGCCCTCGCGTGCACCTTCTGCCCACGGGCGGCCAGGGTTCATCGAGCTTGGCGGCAGAGGAGGGGCTTGGGAAAGAGAAGATGGAAGAGAAGAGCAAAGAAAGGGTCTCAAGAGCATCACCCAAAAAATCACCTAAATGACCCCAGATCCCTCAAAAACCTGCGCAAGGCCCCCTCACAGATCCAGGGGTTGGGCCACTTGGGCCACGCGCCGGCGCTGGCGCTCGGTCTGGCTGCGCTTGCGGGCGTTGCGGGCGTTGCTGGCCTTGGGATCTGGTCCTTTAGGCGCCCAGCTGCGGAAGCCGAGCAGTACATGAAGATGTAGAGCCATGTAGAGCCATGTAGCGCCATGTAGAGCCATCAAGGGAGATATGGAGACATGGGTTTGAGGGGCTGACGTGCAGGGTTTTTCGGGGGTTCTTTTGAGGGTTGAGCAGAAGACCTTCTGCGTCGGGCAGAGGCCTGTGCTCTTGAGGACTTTTGACCTGACGCAATTACGCCGGAGACGCAAAACAGGCTCGACATTTGGCTTGCAGCAAAGAGAGCAGCCCATGCTTGTCGACTGAGGGCAGCGACATGGCCAGGGTAGGGCATCTTAGACCCGAAGCCCAGACCTAGTAACCCTTTCGCCCTTCTCCATGCACACTAAAGGAAACCCTTAAGGCTGAAGGGCAAAACCAACTAAAAGGCCCCGAACACCCCCCCTGCCCCCACCCCAAGAAATAAGAAAAAGAAATAGCTCTCTAAACCCATCCGCCAGGTTCTGGGCGAGTGCAGCGCTGCCAGCGATGCCCTGGCAGAATGGATTGACAAGTACATCTTCGGATCGGCGTTGAGAGGCACGAAGTTTCAGAGTGAACTCCGAAGTCTGAGAAGCCCTGAGCAACTGATGCCTAAAGCCTCAACTGCTTGGGAGCCTCGCTTGAGTCCTGAGGGCTTTCTGATTTTGGTTATGGGCTTGTGGTTTTAGGATTGGCCACACCTGAGTCTTTCAACCCAAACCTTGGCTTTGGTTTGGAGGTCGGGAGTACTCCCTTGGGGAGGGCGGCTGGTGGGACGTGGAAGCCACGGCAAAGGCGGGCGGTAGGTGCTGGTAGGCAAGACAGGTCAGTACCCTCCCTGCCCCCCCCACTCCCCCCCCCACTCCCCCCTCCTCCTATAAACCAAGTCCTAAACGCTAAAACCCTAAACACAAAAAACCTGCAACCCCAAACAATCTTAAAACCCTGGCCGCGGTAACCTAAATTCTGGTCTGGGGGTTCTTAAATTCCATATTTTGGGTGATTGTGAACAAAAAACCCCCAATGACCCCTTATTTGGTCTATTTGGGTGATTATGGGTTTAGGGTTTAGGGGTTAAATGGCCCTTGCGTGGAAACCCTGAAAGTCGGCCTGAGAGGTCTTCTGCAAGCCCCACATAGGGGAGGTGAGACCAGCACAGTTCAAAGCAATTGCTGATAGATGGGAGAGAACACATTTTTTTGATTAAGCTTGAAAATGCCAATACCGAGCTTTCATGATTCTTTGAGCCACATGTTGTTTTTATGTTTTGGGCAGGACAGAAACATGGTTAATCGCACACACACACACAAATAATATTCTTTTAATTCGTGTCGGTCGAAAAAAGCGAGGTACAACAATGATGTAGCAAGTGGTTCTGCCTCCTTCATCTCATGCCCCTAACCTCTAAACCTTAACCCCTACACCCGCAACCACACCTTGCAGCACTGAGACCTGAACCTTACATGCCTTAAATCCTAACCCTAGCCTCTGAACCCTCAAACCCTACACCCCAAACCCCCAAGGTGACCTGTCAGGAGCTATGATTGAAGAAACACATCCATCAAATGCTCTGGGACAGAGCTCAGTCAGTATGAAAGCTCTGGGACAGAGCACAACATGGAAAAACTCTGGGACAGAGTAGCACCAAAGAAGCTCTGGGACAGAGCACAACATGAACAACTCTGGGACAAAGTAGAACAACAGAAGCTCTGGGACAGAGCAAAGCAGGAACGTGGAAGCACAGAGCCCTGAGACATCAGTCAGCGCTGCCCAGACATGCAAGCAATCAGAAGTGCAAGCAGACAGAGCACCCGAGTCATAAATGCCTGAGGCACAAGTGGCCTTTGCCGATCTCCGGCAGCATGGAGGCTGAGATCAAATTTATGTGCAGGATTTAGGAAAAGCCAAGACGCAACCGGTTGCGACTTGGCTTTTCCTATAGAAAACAGCATATACATACAATTGGCCAGGTCACATTTTAAAACGAAAAAAGCCAAGTCGCAACTTTGGCTTGTCCCCTAGACATGCAATTGTCTGTTCATGTACATTTTCTACAGGAAAGCCAAGTCGCAACCGGTTGCGGCTTGGCTTTTCCCACAGAAAACAGCAGGTGGATGTCATGGACATGTTTGTATGGGAAAAGCCAAGACGCAACCGGTTGCGACTTGGCTTTTCCTGTAGAAAACAATAGACAGATGCAAGTGGACAGGTCATGTAAAATGCATGGGAAAAGCTGCGACTTGGCTTTTCCTTGCGAAAACAACAGATAGATGCAATTGGACAAGTCATGTACATGTTTGTATAGGAAAAGCCAAGACACAACCGGTTGCGACTTGGCTTTTCCTATAGAAACCGACAGATGAAATTGGGCAGGTCATGTACATGTTTGTGTAGGAAAAACCGAGACCCAGCCGGTCTAGGGTTGTTTGAGGTCTTGGATTCTTTCCTTTGGCACCAATTCCACCTACAGACTAAGTCCTTATAAGACCCGCCCGACCCTGAATTAGGCTGTTAGTTTGTTCGGAAAAAGGCATAGATTCAGGGTGGGTCTACCGTTTCGGGTGAGGGTCTGGAAGGTTCAGGGTCTCGATTCTTTTTTAAACGAGGGTTTAGTGTTCCGGGCTTCTGGTGTTATTTGGCTTCGGGTCTATATAGGGTCTCTAGGGTTGATAAGGCCCAAGCTGGAGGGTCTTACCGTTTTCGTTTTTTGGCCCTTGAAACCCGCAGCACATCAGATCCCCAAGGTCAGCAAGCGCTTACAAGGTCTAAGCTTTAGAGCATACGGGCTGAACCTTCAGACCCCAAAACCCTAAACCCTACTAACCACTCTCAACCCTGGAGCCCAAAGCCTAAGGGCCGAAACCGCTGAAGCCTAAAAACCCAAGCCCTAAACCCTAAGCCCCAAGCCCTAAGCCTAAGCCCTAAGCCTAAGCCCTAAACCCTTAACCCTTAACCGAAACCCTAAACCCTGAGCCCAAAACTAGGGCGTGCGCCCGGTGCGCCTTCCAGCCCTGGGTGACGTCAGGTCTTCACCCAAAACTCAGGTATAGGGTTAGGATCTAGAGGTTAGGATTTAGGGTTTACAGTTTAGGGTTTAGAGTTTAGAGAGTTTAGAGATTAGGGTTTAGAGTTTAGAGTCTTGAGTTTAGGGTGTAAAGTTCAGAGTTTAGGGGTTAGAGTGTAAGAGTTTAGGATTTAGAGTTTAGGGCTTAGGGTTTAGAGTTTAGAGTTTAGAGTTTAGGGTTTAGATTTTAGGGTACAGAGTTTAGAGTTTAGGGTTTAGGGTTTCTCTGGTCTCCCCCAAAACTCGGAGGGCTTAGAGTTTAGAGTTTAGGGTTTAGAGTTTAAGAGTTTAGGGCTTAGAGTTTAGGGTCTAGGGTTTAGAGTTTAGAGTTCAGAGTTTAGGGTTGAGAGTGTAGGCTTCAGAGCTTAGAGTTTAGGGCTTAAGGTTTGCGATTTAGAGTTTAGGGGATGCCCGAAACTAAGCTGTTGGCAGAACTCTGGTTCCCTCCAAAACTCAGGTTTCGAGTTTAGGGTTTACGGTTTACAGCAGAGTTCAGAGTTTAGGGTTGGTTTAATTAGGGTTTTAGAGTTCAAGAGTTTTGGGTTTCGAGTTAAGGGTTTAGAGTTTAGAGTTAGGGTTCAGGGTTTAGGGTTTAGGGTTCAGAGTTTGGAGTTTAGGGTTTGGAGTTTAGGGTTTAGGGTTTAGAGTTTCGAGTTCACGGTTTAGAGTTTAGGGTTTAGGGTTTAGGGTTTAGGGTTTAGAGTATAAGAGTTTAGGGTTTAGAGTTTAGGGTGTAGGGTTTAGAGTTTGGGGTTTAGAAGTTTGGAGTTTAAGGTGCAGAGTTGAGAGTTTAGGGCATAGGGTTTAGGACTTGGGGCTTGGGGACGCCCAAAGCTAACCTGTCAGCAGACTCTGGTTTCCCCCAAAACTCGGGTGTAGGGCTTAGGAGTTTAGGGTGTAGGTTTAGGGTTTAGAGTTTAGGGTTCAGGGTTTGGAGATTAAGAGATTAGGCTCTAGAGTTTAGAGTTTAAGTGTTTAGGGTTTAGAGTTTAGGGTTTAGGGTTCAGAGTTTAGAGTTTAGGGTTCAGGGTTTAGAGATTAGAGTTTAGGGTTCAGTGTTTAGGGTTTAGGATTTTGGGGACGCCCGCAGCTAACCTGTTGGCCGACTCTGGTCCCCCCAAAACTCGAGTTCATTAGGGTTTAGGGTTTCCGGTTTAGAGTTTAGAGTTCAGGGTCTAGGGGAGTTGAAGAGATTAAGGTTTAGAGTTTAGGGTTTAGGGTTTAGAGATTAGAGTTTAGGTGGGAAATCGCACCCTTGATAGGGCGGAGACAGCTCTAAACCCGCGAAAGCGGTGGTTTGGCGGCCTTCGACCCATCTCTGGGGCGCAGCTGTGGTGCTGGGAAAACCCCAGACCCTGTATACCCCCTTAAACCCTACACCCTAAAACTCTAAAACCCTAAACGCCTTAAACCCTAAACCCTAAAGCCCTAAATCCCCTACCAACCCTGAAGCCCAGAAAGTTAAGAACAGACAGGTCGACCTTTGGGCCTGCCCTCTGGTGGTTTCGGCTCTGCCCGGGCCCGGGTTTCGGAGCTTCGGAACCTTAAGGTTTTTAGGTTTCGGCGCTGTCTGTTCTTAACTTTCTGGGCTTCAGGGTTGGTAGGGGATTTAGGGCTTTAGGGTTTAGGGTTTAAGGCGTTTAGGGTTTTAGAGTTTTAGGGTGTAGGGTTTAAGGGGGTATACAGGGTCTGGGGTTTTCCCAGCACCACAGCTGCGCCCCAGAGATGGGTCGAAGGCCGCCAAACCACCGCTTTCGCGGGTTTAGAGCTGTCTCCGCCCTATCAAGGGTGCGATTTCCCACCTAAACTCTAATCTCTAAACCCTAAACCCTAAACTCTAAACCTTAATCTCTTCAACTCCCCTAGACCCTGAACTCTAAACTCTAAACCGGAAACCCTAAACCCTAATGAACTCGAGTTTTGGGGGGACCAGAGTCGGCCAACAGGTTAGCTGCGGGCGTCCCCAAAATCCTAAACCCTAAACACTGAACCCTAAACTCTAATCTCTAAACCCTGAACCCTAAACTCTAAACTCTGAACCCTAAACCCTAAACTCTAAACCCTAAACACTTAAACTCTAAACTCTAGAGCCTAATCTCTTAATCTCCAAACCCTGAACCCTAAACTCTAAACCCTAAACCTACACCCTAAACTCCTAAGCCCTACACCCGAGTTTTGGGGGAAACCAGAGTCTGCTGACAGGTTAGCTTTGGGCGTCCCCAAGCCCCAAGTCCTAAACCCTATGCCCTAAACTCTCAACTCTGCACCTTAAACTCCAAACTTCTAAACCCCAAACTCTAAACCCTACACCCTAAACTCTAAACCCTAAACTCTTATACTCTAAACCCTAAACCCTAAACCCTAAACCCTAAACTCTAAACCGTGAACTCGAAACTCTAAACCCTAAACCCTAAACTCCAAACCCTAAACTCCAAACTCTGAACCCTAAACCCTAAACCCTGAACCCTAACTCTAAACTCTAAACCCTTAACTCGAAACCCAAAACTCTTGAACTCTAAAACCCTAATTAAACCAACCCTAAACTCTGAACTCTGCTGTAAACCGTAAACCCTAAACTCGAAACCTGAGTTTTGGAGGGAACCAGAGTTCTGCCAACAGCTTAGTTTCGGGCATCCCCTAAACTCTAAATCGCAAACCTTAAGCCCTAAACTCTAAGCTCTGAAGCCTACACTCTCAACCCTAAACTCTGAACTCTAAACTCTAAACCCTAGACCCTAAACTCTAAGCCCTAAACTCTTAAACTCTAAACCCTAAACTCTAAACTCTAAGCCCTCCGAGTTTTGGGGGAGACCAGAGAAACCCTAAACCCTAAACTCTAAACTCTGTACCCTAAAATCTAAACCCTAAACTCTAAACTCTAAACTCTAAACCCTAAGCCCTAAACTCTAAATCCTAAACTCTTACACTCTAACCCCTAAACTCTGAACTTTACACCCTAAACTCAAGACTCTAAACTCTAAACCCTAATCTCTAAACTCTCTAAACTCTAAACCCTAAACTGTAAACCCTAAATCCTAACCTCTAGATCCTAACCCTATACCTGAGTTTTGGGTGAAGACCTGACGTCACCCAGGGCTGGAAGGCGCACCGGGCGCACGCCCTAGTTTTGGGCTCAGGGTTTAGGGTTTCGGTTAAGGGTTAAGGGTTTAGGGCTTAGGCTTAGGGCTTAGGCTTAGGGCTTGGGGCTTAGGGTTTAGGGCTTGGGTTTTTAGGCTTCAGCGGTTTCGGCCCTTAGGCTTTGGGCTCCAGGGTTGAGAGTGGTTAGTAGGGTTTAGGGTTTTGGGGTCTGAAGGTTCAGCCCGTATGCTCTAAAGCTTAGACCTTGTAAGCGCTTGCTGACCTTGGGGATCTGATGTGCTGCGGGTTTCAAGGGCCAAAAAACGAAAACGGTAAGACCCTCCAGCTTGGGCCTTATCAACCCTAGAGACCCTATATAGACCCGAAGCCAAATAACACCAGAAGCCCGGAACACTAAACCCTCGTTTAAAAAAGAATCGAGACCCTGAACCTTCCAGACCCTCACCCGAAACGGTAGACCCACCCTGAATCTATGCCTTTTTCCGAACAAACTAACAGCCTAATTCAGGGTCGGGCGGGTCTTATAAGGACTTAGTCTGTAGGTGGAATTGGTGCCAAAGGAAAGAATCCAAGACCTCAAACAACCCTAGACCGGCTGGGTCTCGGTTTTTCCTACACAAACATGTACATGACCTGCCCAATTTCATCTGTCGGTTTCTATAGGAAAAGCCAAGTCGCAACCGGTTGTGTCTTGGCTTTTCCTATACAAACATGTACATGACTTGTCCAATTGCATCTATCTGTTGTTTTCGCAAGGAAAAGCCAAGTCGCAACCGGTTGCGTCTTGGCTTTTCCCATGCATTTTACATGACCTGTCCACTTGCGTCTGCCTATTGTTTTCTACAGGAAAAGCCAAGTCGCAACCGGTTGTGTCTTGGCTTTTCCCATACAAACATGTCCATGACATCCACCTGCTGTTTTCTGTGGGAAAAGCCAAGCCGCAACCGGTTGCGACTTGGCTTTCCTGTAGAAAATGTACATGAACAGACAATTGCATGTCTACGGGACAAGCCAAAGTTGCGACTTGGCTTTTTTCGTTTTAAAATGTGACCTGGCCAATTGTATGTATATGCTGTTTTCTATAGGAAAAGCCAAGTCGCAACCGGTTGCGTCTTGGCTTTTCCTAAATCCTGCACATAAATTTGATCTCAGCCTCCATGCTGCCGGAGATCGGCAAAGGCCACTTGTGCCTCAGGCATTTATGACTCGGGTGCTCTGTCTGCTTGCACTTCTGATTGCTTGCATGTCTGGGCAGCGCTGACTGATGTCTCAGGGCTCTGTGCTTCCACGTTCCTGCTTTGCTCTGTCCCAGAGCTTCTGTTGTTCTACTTTGTCCCAGAGTTGTTCATGTTGTGCTCTGTCCCAGAGCTTCTGTGGTGCTACTCTGTCCCAGAGTTTTTCCATGTTGTGCTCTGTCCCAGAGCTTTCATACTGACTGAGCTCTGTCCCAGAGCATTTGATGGATGTGTTTCTTCAATCATAGCTCCTGACAGGTCACCTTGGGGGTTTGGGGTGTAGGGTTTGAGGGTTCAGAGGCTAGGGTTAGGATTTAAGGCATGTAAGGTTCAGGTCTCAGTGGTGTAGGGGTTAAGGTTTAGGGGTTCGGGGCATGAGATGAAAGAGGCAGAACCACTTGCTACATCATTGTTGTACCTCGCTTTTTTTCGACCGACACGAATTAAAAGAATATTATTTTTGTGTGTGTGTGTGTGTGTGAGATTAACCATTTTTCTGTCCTGCCCAAAACATAAAAACAACATGTGGCTCAAAGAATCATGAAAGCTCGGTATTGGCATTTTAAAGCTTAATCAAAAAACTGTGTTCTCTCCCATCTATCAGCAATTGCTTTGAACTGTGCTGGTCTCACCTCCCCTATGTGGGGCTTGCAGAAGACCTCTCAGGCCGACTTTCAGGGTTTCCACAGAGGGCCATTTAACCCCTAAACCCTAAACCCATAATCACCCAAATAGACCAAAAAAGGGGTCTCTGAAAGCCTCCATTGGGGGCTTTTTGTTCACAATCGCCCAAAATATGGAATTTAAGAAGCCCCAGACGTTACCACGGCCAGGGTTTCTTAAACACCACTAACAAAGCACATGCGAAACCTTGAAAACCCTACGCCCTAAAACCCAAAGTTCTTAAACTGGGGGAACACAGGGGGGGGAGGACCGGGTGGACCGGGGGGGGGGGGAAGATATGCTGCACCACGTAAGTGTATGCCACCGTCAGTATCAAGGCAGTGTTGTTTGCACGCTCTGTTGCGATTGTTCTGCGTTACAACATCTTGACTATCCTTCGAGAGTCGTTGGCATCACTGGTGCAAGTATGGTTCCCAGTGTTCATATTGTCATGGTGTGGCATGAACCCGGACATGTTTCAGCAAGGCAACAGACGCTCACAAGCAAAACTAAACAATCCGAAAACCCAAGACATGAAGCCCACCCACACCTGGAGGAGCCTGCCACCGCGCTGGTCCATGCCCTGAGGTCACTCGCGCCGGGGAGCCTGGCAGAGCGAGGCGAGTGTGCTCCTCAGCAGCTGGAGTTTGGGGTATCTTGGGATGTGCGGTAATCAAGCAGTGTTCCCACGGTGTTCCAATTCCTTTTCATAGGGTCCGGCGTTGCAGACTCCCAAGATACCCAGATGCCCGCTCCGAGGCCTCTCCAAAATGGTGATCTGCTGGTTTGTGCACACCCGACCTCCTTGTGTCTGCTGCTTAGAGACTGGGCACTGACCAACTCGTGGGTGAAGCCTCTGAGCATCTTGGAGCCTCTTGAGAGGCCTGATGAGTTTCTGGGCCATGTGGAGGTGCGGCCGGAACAGGGCTGGACGCACGTGGCATCTCTCGTCGGCAGTGCTGAGGTTTGCCGACGGAGCGATGAGCCATGCTGGCGGGCTTGTGCCAGGAACGCTCTCAGGTCCTCAAAGCCCAACCAAGCCCTGCCACGTGCCAGCAGCACCTCCTCTGATAATTTCTGTTTTGCAGAGTGCCAGGAAGGCTTCCAATGCTGCTCCACATCTCCTCGACGCCTCCTGGCTCTTGAATATGGGGCCGCGACGTGCGGGTTCGCGGCGAGACCTGTATCAACCGAACACGCCGTCTTTTCGACTCTTGGAGAAGCGCTAAGCCCTGTCTCAACCCGTCGAATCCCATAGGCTCCAAAGAATCCTGGAAGGGCCTCCTGCCGTTAACCCCATGAAGCCACGATGTGCCAACCGAGGCTCCTCTACGGCGCCCCTGGTGGCACGGCCCAGAAGGACTTCCTGCACCTGGCGAGGTGGGGGAAGCGGTGGGGGAAGCCTAGTGGAAGCCTGTTTTTGTTCTTCACCGCCCGGCAAAGTGGGGTTGGCAGGCGGGTTTCTTTGGTCCAGTAATGCTTGGGCTGCTTGGGCTGCTTGGGCTGCTTGGGCTGCTTGGGCTGCTTGGGCTGCTTGGGCTGCTTGGGGGTTAGGGACGGATCATCTGGAGTCCTCCTCCTCTGTGTGAACATCCCCCACAGCCTCGAGCACACAGAAGTCTTCCGGCGGGGACAGAGGAATCCTCACTTGCTCAGTGGAGTGAAGTTCTGGCGTCATGACGCCTCAAAAAGACATCCACTCGATCTGCCCAATCACTGGAAAGTTCATGCCCTTGTCGTCAACCGGCCCCGCGAACCTTTTTCTTTTCTCATCTTCAAGAGGGGGATTGAGGCTTAACATCTGGAGCTTGGATGGGAGGTTGGCCTTGTGGCATAAGCCTTTGCCTGTCCCGGAAGCTGGTGCTAGGGGAGGAAGGGTTCTCCAGAATTTGGCACCGTCTTTCAGGGATCTGCTGACGGGTCCTCTGCCGCTGATGGCCCTGGCAGAGGTGGGAAGTGACTTGTCTTGCTTATCGTCTTAATTTTGAACCCTGTCTGTGTCCGAACTCGAGCAGAGGAAACCCCAAAATCCAAAATTCCTTCCTTGCCAGGGTGCCTTTCTGTCTGCCCAGCTCTTTGATCAGTTGGGCGTAAGGGTGCCCTCGGGGCCCGCCCTAGCCCTCTACCTGGGTGACACAGGTGGGAGCCCTGGAACCTAGTTTTTATGAATTGCCTTAGGATGTGGACGCCAGTTGACCCTTTCCTCCCGGCGAGGCTACTTGCAGCAGAAGGCGGCAGAGAAACTCCCAACCATCCTCGTCACTCGTGCCCGTTTGTTCAACCAGCCGACAGGCCCGGCGTGAGCGCTGAACAGCTCAGACAGATGGCATACCCCCAAAACATTTGCGCAGCTCGCTAGGCCTGTTCTTCCGCTGTCTGCTGATGGAGTTTGCCATAATCAACCAGCCGTTGGCAGATTCCGAGCGTGGAGCCGGCTTGTTTCTCAAGGGTGTTGTTCGCGTTCCGACTCGGCACCACCTGGCATCTCTTGCAAGGTGGACACTTCTGGTTTTCCGAGGTTCCGAGTCTGGACGAGAAGGCGAGCCTTCAGTGAGGTCTTCTGCCAACGGTGTATATCATCGCCCAACTCCACTACTGTAATCCTTGTGGAAAGGCTCGATGCGCTGACAAACACGCCGAATCCCTTCTTTGAAACCAGGGCCTTCAATCCCCAGGCAGATGAGATCCGAGAGATCGGCTCGGCTGGGGGCAGCGACAGTTGGAAGAGTTGGGAGGAGCGGCTTCTCCGTGTATCCACACCCAACCTTGAAGCTTTGAACCCTTGAAACCTTCAAGCCTTTCAACCTTTCAACCCCCAAGAGCGTCCGCGAACCTGAGCTTGCACATAGGTTTCGCACAGGGCCTCAAGCGCTCTGTTGTACCAGGGACACCCCAGCGCCCACCCCCCCCCCCCCACCCACCAAAAAAGCAAATGCGATGCGAAGAAAGGGGTGGGGACCATCTCCTGGATCAACCCATCTGAGATCTGTTTTTGGGGTTTAGGGTTTCGGGTTGGGAACGAATGCCATGGCCACAGGATGCATTACAGGCGCTAGGATTTGGGGTTTGGCTTTAGGGTTTAAGATTCCATTGCATGACCAACGAGCATGCACGCGACTGCCTGGAAATTGCGGAGAACGTTTCCCGAGGTCGCTTAGACTATAGTGTCTAAGCCCCAAACTTTGCTGACACGGGAACCAGAACCTCACATGAGCTTGGTCACATCAGCTTATGCAACGTAGGGGGAATCCTCAGAGTCCCCATGTTGCAACATGGTCCCTTAGATAAGTCCCTCACCTTTCTTTCAAGGGTTCCGAAGTAGGGGCCCCTGTTGCAGGTGTATAAGGGCTTCCCAAAATCAAAACCCAAGGGCCGGGCGCATTCGGGCCCGCCTAGTGGGCTCTCCCGGGCTCGGCAGGAGATGGCGCGTTGCGCGGCCGCCTTCTTCATCCCGTCGGAGCCGAGACGATACCTCCTGAGTTGCTGTTTCCTGGGATCGTGTTCTGGGGGAAGTTTGGTGTTTGCTGATGGAAACGGCTGTACGTCAAGAGCCAAGCGAGCTTATTGATGCTCTCAGTTTTTTTCTGTGTGTTCTCCGGCCTGCAGGAAGGTCATGGTGAGCGAGGGTGTACGGGTTGGGATTTTGTTAAATTTAAGCCCACCGTAAACATCCCCATATCCTAGACCCGAACCAGAACCAGCATCTCCAGTACCCTAAAGCCGAAAAAACCACCACTCGGATGCTTGGGACTGGGGCTTCACAGGACATACATCAGCGGACGTTTATCGAGCTCTACCGCATGAATGTGCATCACCCAGGCTGTGGTTTACAGCAGGCATGATGGGAGGCTATGGGAGGCCTCAGTATGCCATTCTATGCCCTCCTGAGACCCGAGGCCGCTCGAAGGCCCCTCTTGACTCAACAGAATCTCGCACAGAAGGGTCCCAAGGGTTCGGGGCTTCAGTCTTTACAAGGGGCTCGGAGAGGAGGCCTGTGAGCTTTAAAGCCCGCTGTTTCAGGTGCCCACATTCATGCCGGCGGTAGAGTGGCTTATCAGACTGCCACTTGCTGCCCCCTTCGGTGCAACCTCCTGTGTTTGAAGTGGGGTTGCTTTCAAACCAGGTGTCGACATGAGGGCCTTTTGACACAGCTGAATCAGCCGCTTCATTGCCTGTTCCATGCACCCATTCGTCCTTCATGTTTTGTTTTTGTGCTGGCATGTACATGTTTGCCAATTTGCATGGCACAGTGCAGGGGTTGATTGAATGGCCTGTCATGTGCGCAGTCCGGTTGTCCTTTGCTCCTTCACTTGCTACTTGGACGTTCTGGTTGTTTGATTGTCTTGCTCTTTGCGGCTTTTCTACTGCGTCTCTTCCGCTGCAAAGGTTTTCAGGTTGCAGATCAGCCCTGACTTTGGTGAATGGTTTGGTGGTGTTGGCGTTGTGAGGGGCCGTATACGTTCGCTGTGGCAGGTTCCTTCAGCTACACTGGTGCCCTGCCGGAGGCTTGCCACCCATGGGCGCATGGCAAAAGCCTAGAGTGACTAGTTTTAGTCATGTGGAGGGCTGCAGGGCGCCAGCCATTCAGGTAGGCAAGTTTCCGTGTGTCTCTGATGCAAGTCAAGTCCAAGCGCAGTATGGCCCTGCGACAATGTCGCGGGACGATTTCTGGGTTTGGCCTTTCCGAGCAGGCCTACGAGAACGGCTTTTGGGTCTTTTCAGGGCCTTGTGGGGCTTGTAAAGGCCAGAAAGCAGGGCCTTTACGGGGCTTGAGAGCGTTGTATTTAGGAGATGATTTCAGGGGTTTCGAGCCAGTTTGCATTCCTCGCCGAATCGCGAAGCCCCGCCATGAGACTGCTTTCGGCAACTTCAACTTTTTCGACGGTTGTAGGCTAAGCTTTCCGGCTATTAAAACAAGGGCGGGCCCCTCCCAACCCCTCCGAACCCATTTGTTGTGTCTATTTAAATGTGCGTATACTGAAAATAGTCACCGTGAACTTTAAGTAGACTCTACAGACAAATCCCTAAGCACCCTGACACACCCCGTCGGAGCCGTAAAAATCGCCCTAAGCTTGCATAGCCTGAGCCACTCAAACTGCTGAGTTTGGCGCGCAGGTGCCCGCAAGTTCGAGCCCCAGCTGATTTCTGGTTCAAGGCTTCAGGGTCTTGGAAATTTGGTTAGGGTGCAGTTACGGGGTCTGAGTTTTCAGGGGTCAAGGGCCAGGTTCCAGGCTAAATGAAGGCCACTGTCGAAGTCGGCCAGGCATACCTAGCCATGGGCTCGAAGGTTTGCCCTTAAAGCCTTGTAAGGAAAAGTCAGAACTCCAAACAAAACCCCACACCCAGCCAACATCTAAAGCCTGAACCCACCGACCTGAGACAAAACTCCTTAGAGCTCTCACAAGCCCCGAACCCGACCGGAGCACGACGAGAGCCCGGACTTTGTCACCCCGCGCCGCCAGCGGATTCTGGCCATGGCCTTCGATGGCTGCCCCTGGGCCCTCGCTCGAGGCTTCCTTGTTTTCAGAAATGGGTTCATAGATTCTCGTAGGGTTCAGGGTTGAGGATCGCCAGGGGTTGAGCAGGGCTTGGGGGTTGATGGGTTCAGGGTCCAGACTCCCGATCCTGAGAAAAACAAACACCAAGTCCCGCTGAGAGGAGCTCCTGTCGGCGGCGCTGCTGCGCTGCGCCGCGGGCGGACGGCGCGCGCCGAGCGAGCTGCGGGCGCTTCTGGCGCCTGGGGGGGGCGAGAGGAGTTGGGGGAGCTTGGGCGAGGTTAGGGGCCGGGTCATGGGGAGCTTAGAACCACATGCCCTGCTTCCTAGCTCCCGGTTCGAGTCTGTTTCTCGTTTCCGACGTGATCAGAGCATCCAGAAGACCTCCCTAGGCCTAAGTGAGAAAGCCCGCAAGGCCTCGGACAGCGCATCGAGGCTGCTACCGAAAGTCGCGGTGCAGTTGGCTCTGAGAGAGCCGCGCCGACCCCGGAGGGCGAAACCAACGGGGTCCTCTAGCATCGTGTTAGGAATATTTGGACGTCTGGCAGCTATGTGGGCCCCAAGCCCAAAGCCCCAAGCAACAAATTGAAGCAATCGAGGTGCTGCGACCTCTCTTCGCTTCTGGAGGTTCCATGCTTAGGAGTGGAAAAGCTGCTTCGGACATCTTTGTTCCACCGACGCCCCTGAACCCGAATCCTGCTATTGCACGCCTATAGGGCGTAGGGTGCAGGGTTTAGAGTTGAACAATGCCCTGAACCCGACTGGGACTCAGGAAACAAGAACATTCTATGTCGTTCTTACCAGGGCCTGGATTCCCAGAGTCGAGGCGTTTTGCCCCCAGATTCGCTTGCCCCTCTCCTTTGAAGCCTAAAAATCCCACTGGCAGGTTCTTGCTACGAGCCCCCCACACCAAACACAAAGCCGCGAGAACGTCATGTATGCAAAGCCGATATATCGGCATATATCGGCTTATATCGATACATGCTCACGGCCCTCTCCTGAAAAACCAAAGGCCAGAACTAAAACCCTGAACTTGCGAGGCTTTGGCAGGATGCGATGGAACCACAGAGGTGGCTGCGGCCCTGGGCTCTGCCGTCGCCGAGGCACCCCGTTGTGTTGCACTATGCCCATAGCAGTGTGAGGCTGGACCAAGCCCCTAAAAGATTCCAGAGAGGGTCACCAAGAAGCCCTCCTAAACCCCTCTTTGCCCCATACATCCCCCAAGCCCTAAGCCCTGAAAGCCCGAGCCCTGAGGCCCTCTGTGCCGAAAACGACCCCGAGCCGCGGGTGCTGGAGCTGCTGAGGCTGGGCCCTCCTACACCCCTTACACCCCTTACACCCCCTACACTTTTTGGAGGGGAGGGGTGGTCTTTACACTCAAACCCGTTTGTTTCAGGTGCTGCGTAGCTTCCTCCCTCAAAGCCTGCAAGTTGAAAGTCTGCAGTTCAAGACGGTTCTGCCAAATTGGAGAAACTGTTCTTGACTCGAACCCTAAACCTAACCCTTGACTCCTAAAGCCTGATCCCTGAAACCTTGCAGGACCTAATGCCCCACAGTGTTGCCAGGCGCCTGGTGTCCATGGAGTGGGTGCAGGCCTTGCTCCAGATTTTCCTCCAAGCCTCAACGACTGGAATGGCAGGTTGTGTACTTCCACACTACAGAGCTGGTCCCATGCCAGCCCTTTATGCCATTCGAGAGCTACTCGTGTCGAGTAGACGCAACATTGAAGGGACCAGCAGGACAAACCACAAGCTGGAAGGCTCTAGTGAGTAGTGCTGCTATGATGAGACACAGCTCTGATCTCCTTTCTTCTTGGAGAGGTATCCGGGCTGGTCGCTGTGGCCGAGGACTTGGCTGCAGCAACAGCCAAGGAGGTGGGGCCTTGGAGGTTTGAAGTTTTGGGGCGGGTGTGGGGTTAGTTGCGGGTTTGGGGTTAGTTGCGTGTTTGGGGCTTCAAGGCTCAGGGATTGGGGGTTTAGGGTGGGGACCCAGTGTCTGTGTGATTATTTTGTTATGAGTATTTTCTTTCTCTTTCTCTCTCTCCTTTTCAATTTCTTCTGTCTTTGTTTTTCTTTCTCTCTCTCCCTCTCGCTCTCTCTCTCTTCTTGAGATGTACTTGTCTTCGGGGACTAGGGGTTGGACACGGATTGATGAGCCGGAAAGAATCTAAACCCAGCTCGACCCGAAATCATGAAAGCAATGCCTGAAACTGTCGCTCAGAGTCAACAATGAAGCAACAATAACACGAACTATGACAAGAACAACAATGACAAGAACAGTAGCAAGACCAAGAGCATCGACATTAACATCGACGACGACGACGACGACGGCGACGACGCCGACGCGTGGACACCGGGACGTGTCGTAGCGCCTCAGATGACAGGGGCTGCAATTTGATGGCCCGCGTAGAGCTGCAAGCGCAAAGGAAGGCAGCTCCCGCAGAGCAGCGGTTGAAGAAGCGCCATGCCCTGCTCCAGAAAGCATCGGATGCCCCCTGAAACAAGAGCCCCCGCAAAACTTGAAAGCCCGAAAGCGCCGAAGGACCAGCTCCCGCGCAGCCTTGCGCTGCTGGACCTGGCAGCGCAGGCGGCTCCCAGGCGCCGTTTTGGTCTCTCCATTCTCCATGATTTCGAAGGACAGTTCTTCGGTGTTTCACATGACCATCCAAAAAGCAAGGTGCCCTGAAGAGCTGTCTCTATGCGTTGTTGTTCTTGCATTGCACAGCTGTTCCCAAGCTGCATATTGCAGAAGTGGAAGCCCTCCACTCGACAATCCGCGAGCCCAGGGCCACCGAGCTTTCAAGAGCCTTGGCCCATTCCAAGCTGCTGCCGACCTTGGCGTCTTGGCCGATGGAGCCCAGACTCTTCTTAGCACACCTAAACAGTCCAGACTTTTGAAGCCCTCGGCAATCTCTGAATTCCCCAAACTCTCCACAGGCTGGAGCTGCAAAGAGGCTTCAGGCTTCAGGGTTTTGGGCTGTGGGGCTTTGGGTTCAGGGGCTCGAGGCTATCACGTTTTGTCAGACAAAGGTGGACTCCCACTCGGTCGTGCGCGCGCAGTATCCGGCTTTGGCGCAGGTGGGCCGTTTTACAGCTTCAATCCTTCCTCAACTGTGCCCGTACCCTAGCCCACAAACCCTGTCAAGGCCAATCGGAGAACCATCAAGTATTGAAATCCTTCTCCGAAACCTCAAAAGGAAACCCCAACATCAGGCTGCCGTGCCCCTGTTGTGTGCGACCACGCCGCGTGCGCAGCGAGCGCAGCGGGAACAGCGGCCCCGGCTGCCCCGTGCACACGAGAGCTCTGCGGACGAGGCCGCCTTTCTCAGCAGGGCAGAATCACAATATTCAGAATGTGTGCAGTTTGTGCAATACAACAACAGATATGAATCTGTGTGTATTTATTTGTATATCTATTTGTAGTTCCAAGATGCGATCATTATTGTTAACGCTTGCGCCGCTTTGGCAGCCGGGCGGGCTGGGCCCAGTTGGGGTTCGAAGGGGGGGGTCCCAAGGGTGTCCCACAGGCCAGGCGTGCCAAAGTGGGCCACCCGAAAATTGATTCAAAGAGGGTGCCACGGAAGTCAAAGGGGGTTTCGTGATTTTTACCTTTAGGGGTGGGGGAAACGAGACCATCTCTGGAGCCTCCGTGGCTTCTTTTAAAGGATTCGATCCGCCCTTTGGCAGCTCAGCTTCTGCTCTCACATCGCATAGGCAGATGCAGAGAAGGAGGAGCAGCTGGCGCAGGGGCCGGTGAGGCACTCAGACTCGGGAAGTCTGTTGCGGAGCCTCGTGGCATCTGCTGTTTGCAGAGGGAGATCGGCATTTTGAGGTCATCTTCGAGGCATTGGAGGACCTACTTTCAGCATCGACTTCACCAGATAGCTTGTCCCCTGGCTGCATTGACTTGCGGGAGGCTTTTTAAAACCCGGCTCGTCTCAGCCACTGCAAGATTTGACATTCTCGTGGCAAACCCAACATCGAGGCTGCCCTACGCGCTGCTGCCGACCTTTCTCCCGCCGGAGGCGGGCTTCGGTGTGCGGCACCAGGGGATGATACTGGCTGGCGCTGGCGGCGTTGTCGAGGAGCGGGCTCACTGTCAAAGGCCCCCGTTGACTCACCTGTTGACCCCATGAGGCCTCCTATGAGGCCTCCTCATGAGGCCTCCTCAGGCCTCCAAGCCTTGCTCCCCAGGAGTGGGACCTGGACGCCGGGCTGCGCCTCGATCGTCTCTTCGCCTCGGGTGGGGAGGCGACGCAAGCCATCCAGAGTTTGAGGGTACCGGGTAGACCCCCAAAGTTGGGGCAGTAAAGTCAGTAGGACCCATGGTGTTTCAGACTCGATAGCCGTCATACACCCAAGGCCCAAGGCATTTACTGCTGCATGAGTTGCTATCAAGCTCCTTCTATCTCGGACGTGCCCAACGTGCCGCGTGCACGCAGAGCTCCTAAGTGCCAAACGTTAAACCGTTAAACCCCCTTAGAACAAGGTGAGGCCAACGTACCCTAAACATCTTCGAATGCATCAACCGATATTCGTTCTTGCCCAATAGATCTCCGGCTGCAGGAGCCGGGCCCGTTTGATGTGGTAAGCCTGATGGCTCCCGGCTTCTCTGCCACAGAGGGCGCACCTCACGAGGCCGAGAGCTTGTGAGTGCTTTGCGTTTTTCTTGCACTTTGTTGGGTTTCGGAAGTTGCGCAGGGTGCATGCCAGGTGCTGGTGGCCGGAGTGAACGGCGCTGACGCTGGGCTGGCCCTCTTCCGCCGTGCCGAAGATGCAACTTGGAATGGCAAAGCATACCTCTTCCAGAAAAGATCCCTCGTTGGCCGCCCTGTGTTGTGGTTCTGACCCGAAACCGAGCCCAGGCATCTGCGGCCGCCGCGTGGCAGGTTGAGGCACCCTGGCCGCCTCCCGCGCCGCGTCCCGGCAACCTGTCCGGCTTAGGGAGCTTGAGGGTTTAGGACGGAGAAACTCTGACAAAACTCTAGGGATTAAAGGATCATGCCAACCGCTTTCTCCTCTGAGGCTGGCGCTCGTTGGACCGCGTGTCACGTGGCGAGTTCCTGCACTTTTCGCAGTCTCTGGTGGTGCTGGGCCAGTGCCCTGACTGCTTGGGATGTGTGTCAATCGTGCGCCTGTAGTTGCCTAAGTTCGAATTGACATGGTAATTACTAAACATGAATCTACAGGAGTACCCTCTACGTTCGGTTTCCTCCTCCAAGGATGTCTGCCTTGGGCTCGCACGAAGTCGGCCTTTACGATGCGGCACTGAGCCCACCTCGCGGTCTGTCGGCGCCGGACTCCCAGGTCTTCCCTAAGCCTTCTGATGCGAGTTTCGAGTGCTGCAGAACAGTCGGGTCAGGTGTACAGGCCACTGGGACTTCGTGGCTGACGTGTGTGCCATCTCTGCACAGGCGGAAAGGAACCCCCTCAACAAAGAGACCAGTCCCCTGACCGTCCCCGTCGTCCCCATCAAAATATCTTTTCATGACCGCCAGTCCTTTGCTTCTGCTTCACTGGATGGCTCGCTTTTGCTCCTCGGCGAGTTGTTGACACTTAAAAGCATTGAAGTGAGCCATTTCGGGTGCTGGACCGGGAAGTTCGGGCCGAGTCGAGAGATGAAATTCCTTCATCACTTCGTTCTTTTGGGCTTATGAGGGACAGGTGACATGTTCCGATCCAGAATGTTCCATTGCAGGTTGAGCTGTGTATAGAATGGAACCCCAGTAGCCCCGACACCTCCCTCACCCCTCTGTCCTCCTCCCCCACCTCATCAGCCCCTAAACCCTCAACTCTAACCCTGCCCAATCGGACTAACCCCTCCTTTCCGAGGCTCTGGGATTTGCGGTGTGGCCTTGGACCCCAGGCAAAGGCAGGCTTCCAGGGCGCTGCCCCCCGGGCCCTGTGCCCCGGCAACCTGGGGTTTAGGTTAGGGGTTTTCAGGGGTTGAGCGTCTAAAGGGGTTTCATGGCGTTCTGCTGATTTTGGGGTGTGGGTCTTCTGGGTTATGTGTTTCCAGCAAAGGGTATTTCCACCAATTCACGGGCCCCCGGTCCGCAGTGTGCAGATCCACCCAGGTGCAGCGTGGCTGCAACAGGCGAATGTGGGCTGCTGCTTTGCGGCGGCCTGGCCGGCGAGCTCGGCGTGGGCCTCGCATTCAGGGATGGCTCGGTGGTGTTGTTTTTGGTACGTATACCGCCAGGTCTGACACAATCTGGAGACAAGGAAGATGTTGGGTATCGAAGGCTGTAGACTCGATTTACTTGCTGTTAGAAGATTGGCTTGGAGGCCGGCTCGTTGCGCCACGTTGCTTGGATGTGCCCTGTCCCAAGCCTTTGGACCTCAAAGCCCCTCAACCTTCTCTCAGCCTCGGCATCTCAACACATCGCAAGGCCTCTTTGATGTCCGCAACCTCAACGACCCGCCCCTGGACAGCGATTGAGGGGTTTGAAGTCGTGGTATCGGGTCTTCAGAAGACCTGCTTGCGTGTGGCGCGCGCGGCCTGCAAAGGCCTTGGTTGAGGGGAGTTCGCGAGATTCTGTGTAGTTGAGTGAGGTCTTGGAACCCCACAGCAAAATGAGAGCCCATCCTTCAAAGGCTGGCACGACCCCCTTCAGCCCGGGGCGCAGTCGCCTCCCGACTGCACAGTGCGCTCGCAGGGGTTTAGCGGCTTACTGGACATGGGTAGCTTGTGTGACACAAAAGAGTGGATGAGAAGGAGCTGGTATCTGAGGTGCGACTGCAGCTTTGGCCAGCCTCAGATCAAGTCGTGGCGGCTGTGGACGCTCAGCAAAAACGGTGCACTCAAGCTGTTGCATCACGTTGATGACAAGTCAGTACTGAGGTCAAGTAGGGAAGAGGTGACGGAACACTCCTTTATGCACAGTTCCTGTATTCAACCACGGCAAGCTGCTGGCAAGCTGCTGGCCCCAGCTCCTCTGACAAGGCCTCTGCTGAAGAAGGCCTCTGTGCACTGACAGCGGCTCGGCAGCACCATACTATGGGCGGCTCCACTTTGTGCTCAGCCACAATGTACACTTCCAGTGAAAGCCAAAGCTTCTGGAACCACCCAAAGTATTGGCAACCACAGCATGTCCAAGTTTATCCAGCTTGAGAATTGTGTTCCGCCTCTTCCTGTTGTGCTCTCCAGCTTCTCTGTGGTGTTCTCCTTGATTCATTCGGTTTTGTTTGGTTTTCTCTTCTCGCAGTTGCGCTTTCCATGCTTCTCGTGTGTTCCGAAACATCTTCACAAATCCATTCGAAGCCTTCAAGTGCTGAACGAACAAGTTGGCTCTGGTGCCCAGCTTGCCACTCCTCAGAATCAGTGGCGCTCCCGAAGACCTGAATCCCGCAGCCGCAGGTGGGACCCGGCCACGGCGCGGGCCAGCTCCAGCGAGCGCTGTACACACCCACCCTGGAGGCCCTTGTTGCTGGAATCCCCATTGTCGGTTCTCTACTGGAGAAGCTCGGGTCGGGCTTGAGTTTGGGGGCTTTGCTGAGCGGAGGGACCTGAAGGGATCCTTCCTCAGTTTGCGTTACGGTGTGCCCACGTGAGGTACTGGTAGTAGGTGTGTAGCTTGTTGTTTGGGCAAATTGTGTCATCCGTGCTGCAGGCACACGGCCTTGAACCAGGGAGTCGCTGATTTGAGGTATCGTTGAGCCTTCAGCTCTGTCCGCTCTTGCTCTTGGACTCTTGCAGTCTCTCCATGCTCCAGGATTTCAACCAAGACCCCTACAACTTTGCCGAGACCCAAACTCACACCCCAAAACCTCCGAAATCCCTCAACCCAGAAGTGCAAACCCACAAATTTGACATCGAAGGAGAAAAGAACAGAAACAAGCTAGTGTTCGTGGGTTTTCTTGTGCTCTAGCAAGTAAGAGAGCCCCACCGTAGACCCGAAACCTTAAACTGTAAACCCTAATCCCTGGCAGGAGCCCCGCCTTTGCTACGACGTGGCTGCGGGGCCCAGTCCATGGCAGCGCCTTCCGGGCCGGTCGTCGTCCATCTGGGCCTGCAGCGACGGCCGGGTGAAGTGGAATTTCTTGGGGGCATTGGAGTTTAGGGGTTTAGGGGGCTTATAGCGGCTGGTCTCAAAAGCTGTTCTGGAACCCTGAACTCCTAAACGTCCTAAACCCTTCAAAGCGCCCTAAGCTCCTCCACGGAGCCTCCGCCGGCAGGTGGGGTGACGCGCTTCCGCGCCGTGCACGGCCGGGCTGAAGGTTCTAGGACACTCCAGGCGTGCAGTACGAGCGCGTGAGGCTGCAAAAGAAGGCCACGACATGCGTTGTAAAATTCTGCGAAGCTCTCAGCTCCACATTGGCTTCTTGACAGCCTTGGGGCTGCAGGGGGCAGTCGCCCAGGCATACATCCCACCAGCTTCAGTCCAGAACTGGCAAGCCCTCGCGCGCTGCATCACTGGCCAGCCTGAGGGTCTTCAGGGTTCAGGGTTCATTCAGGATTTGGGAAAACATGGGAAAACTAAAGTTGCATGTAAAGTTGTGCCGTAGGGATCGTGGAAGCCTGTGAGGAAAGCTTGAAAATCCCGGAAAGTTCTCTAAACCTTTCTGGGTAGCAGAAGACCACAGATCACATGTGCCAGGTACTTCTTCTCGGACTATGCCCATTTTCCGTACATAGGCCGCTTGGGCTGTGAGGATCCGGTTGTACTGCGGCTGCCAGTTTTGATTGATTGCTCGTCTTGCACGGAGAGTCGCCTAAGAAGTTCTTGGCCCCGTTCGGGGTCCCGCACCAGTTCTTGCCTTGTTGCGAACACACTTGCGGCCCTGCAGCTGATCTTCCTTTCTACCCGGATCATTGCCTCATGTTGCCTTTCCCACTGCGCGTTTATCAGGCAGGTGCGAGTCCATTCCTGACATGCTGTACCAGACCTCCGTGGCAGCGGCCCGGCATTGTTACCTGCTTCTTCGGGAACGGTCAATAGGCGCCCGAAGTTGGAGTCTGGTCTTTGCAATGTCCTAGGACTCCAGGACCCTAGGCGTGTGGATCTACGCCACAGTGGGTTGAACCAGGACTTGGACAACGTGGCGGTGCAGATGAGGCATCACTACGAGCTGCTGGCGCGTGGAGTCCAGAACCCAGAAATCTGACACCGCCAAGCCACGACCTGGTTCACTTGAGCCAATTTCGTTCAATCTGCCAAGATGGTGTTGGACCCGAAGTCAAATCCCCACATGCCCGGGCCAACCGCCTTTCGTGGAGAGCTGTTATTGGGTTTGTTTTCCTTTCGCAGGTGACGGCCGCCATTGCACGCTCGACGGCTGTGCTGCTGTCGACCTCCTGAGGCTGTGCCCCAGTGCCCCAGCGAGAGCAAGAGAGAGCAAGAGAGAGAAAGAGAAAGAGAAAGAGAAAGAGAAAGAGAAAGAGAAAGAGAAAGAGAAAGAGAAAGAGAAAGAGAAAGAGAAAGAGAAAGAGAAAGAGAAGGAGAAAGAGAAAGAGAAAGAGAAAGAGAAAGAGAAAGAGAAAGAGAAAGAGAAAGAGAAAGACACAAGATAAGGAAAAATATGAAGAGAATGAGAAAGAGTGGGAAAGGGGGAGAGGGGGAGAAGGGGGAGAAAGGGGGTCCGCCCAAAAACCGGGAGTGGGGAGCGGGGGCAGGTGGTGGGTGGTGGGGCGGTATGCGACTGGGCCCGTGCTAGGAATAAGGTGTGGGGAAGGGAAAGGGCGGAAGGCGCTGGTTCCGGTGCTCACTGTACGAGGTTCAGAAGCACCATTCGTCGAGAATTTTGCCCTTCCTGGTACCCGTGCGCACGCCGCTTGGTCTTGTGCAGGCCGCTGTGGCCAGAAAGCTGTTGCCGCCTGCTGCAAGTGACCGGCGACCGGGGGCGTAAGGCCGGAAGCTGGCGATGCTGAACGCCAGCTGGGCGAGCGTTGTTTCACTCACAAATGCCAACTAAGCAGGAGGCCCCCGGGCAACTGACCCGAAACAGATACGCGTAGACATTGGGGCTCACGTTTGTTTCTTGCCTGGGAGCATGTCCTTTCGTAGTTTGCTGCAGGTTGCTGCCAGCGGCTTGCGCTTCTAAACAAGCTTTATGCTTCGAATGCATGTCACGCCGTGGGAAAGTTCGAGTGAAGAGTTTGCACATTGTGGCCCCTTGGGGTTCACGGCATCCTCTTGAGCCAAGTGGTTGCAGTCTTACTGCCCTGCAGATTCGATCAACCCACAGTGTGGCCACATGGCAACCAAAACCCTTAGAGTAGTGTTGTAGATGTACCGCAAAGTGCTGAGAAGAACACGCAAGCCAAATGCTTCATAGCTGGCAGATTTTGCCTGGGCAGCTGAGTACACGGGATTCCGTTGCGGCCATGTGAAAACACGAGCGGCAGGTGCTGCCGAAGTTCGACTTGACGGCAGTCCAATGGACCAATGCCCAAAGACTTGGTTGAACCAATCCAGGGTACGGATATCGCTACAGCTGTGGAACTGTGAGATATCGTGAGCGCCCTACACCGTCTAGATCTAGCAGCTTTGAGTCTCCCACGTGTTTAACGCTGGGTCGTATCCTCAAATGGCATTTCCCCACTTCAATTCACTCGTTGTGCGCGCCTGACATGAACTGACATGCCCACGCTTGATGTCCCGGCGTTGTCTGGGTCTGGGCCAATCTGCCAACTCATCTCGGATGTTGCCTATCATGTCGATGGTTCATGTCTTTGTGTGCCTGTGCTCACGGTTGCAAAGCTTCGGCGGCTACGCGGCTTAAAGCTACTGTGCCCCGACAGTGTCCCAAGCTCCTCTCTTCGACTTTCTCATCGACAATCTCAGGCGGATGCCGAGCTGGTATGTCAGGGTCTATAACTTGAGACAAAAACAAGGGTATAATGGGTCCCAGAGATCCTTTAAGGATTGGTTCCGGTGGCAGCTATGGAACTTTGTAAAGCATGTTGGGTTTTGGTTCGCAAGTGTCAGGCTCAGCGCTTGTGGAGCAACAGTGGCTGTTGCAGATCAGTTCTGCCGTGCGTGCAGATCCATGCCGTTTTCTCCTGCTTTGGAACCTGCATTGATGTAGAGACAAACCTCACCGGCGTAATCCCGGAGACCTCCTGGTCTTCCATTCGGCCGCGAAGACGCAGTGCCGTCGTCAGTGCACTTATTGGGTCTTGAAGTAGATAGGTTTATTGAGGAAAACCTTCGCAGTCATTCGGCTACAAGAGCCAGCAAAGGAAGCCTGAGACACCCGGACACGCCCAGTACGTTGTTGACGATACAGCTAGGTTCCTCGGCACAAGCTCTCGGGTAGGTGGAAGCTTCAAGTTGAGTATGAGGGTTCTCTTGGTCTGTCTTTCGGAGATAGGTTGCTAGAGAGCCCACTGACACTCACACGTCGGCTGTCGCGGGCGCGGCGTGCTGACTTGACACAGGTTTGTGGGTAGGTCTACACACTTTGAAAGGGGTCACCCAAAGTTTTCTTCTGCAAAACCTCTTTGTCGGCCACAGGGCTTAAGGTGCGGGGCAAGGCTCGCTTAGGGTTTAGAGTTGAACGTATGAAGGCAGCAGTGGCTCCTATGACATCCCTGTAGGGTTTAGGGTTCTCGGGCTTATAGGGTTTAGGGTGCCTGTAAATGCTTCACCTTAGCCTTAACCCCTGGAAGCCGAACACCGATTCTTGCCGACAGGCCATGTCCCACACTACTGACAGCCGCACGCCAACGGCGTCTGCGGCCTAAATTGGGTGTGTTGATTCGATTCAATTCTGTTGTAACTGTGAAGTTTCAGGTTTTCTTTATTCCCAGCATCTGCGTGTGGGGTTCCTGTTTTTGGGCTGCCCTCCGCCTGCCCGCCCGCCATCTGCCCGGAATCTGCCCGTTTCGCCTGCCGCTGCCCCTGGGTTCCCGCGTAAAAGTCACACGCGTCAATCAACGCGTGTCGTCACAACACGCCTCAGCAAAGCATGAGCGCGCGTCAGCGTCAACCCACATCAACATCATGAACATTAACCCTCCAGGGCTCTGGTGGGCTGCGAGTTTTGGTATACCAGAAACCTCGCTATAAGGCTTCAGGCCTCTTGATGGCTGGACTGCCCTGAATCGCGAAGGTTTCGAAGTGTCTTTGATCTCCCACATCCCTATCTCATTATAGGGCTGAGGGCTTAGGATTGTCCCCGCAAGGGTCTTTACAGTGCCTGGTCTAGCGTCTCGCGTGCTCCATCTCTGTAGAGCGTCCGTTGTGCAAGGTGGAGACACCAAACAGACCTGCGCGTCGCAGACTCAGTTTCGGTTCTCGAATCTTTCTTGGTTGCCGTCGGTTTTTGGCAGATCGAGAACCCCAGTCCTTGAACCTACATCACAGAGATCGAGACTGATTAGATAGATCGATGTATGCAGGAGAAGTCTGTCGAGATCACTGGCTAGAGAAATTTCGAAACGATAAGCATTCGTTTCTGCGAGATTTTTCGCTCCTGGCCTTCCCATTTTTGAAGCCCCCAAGGCCATCTGGGAGGAGCTCGACAATGTGAAGGTGCCCAACCTCCCAATGTGTTTTGACGGGGCTGCTACGTGTTGCAGGTTACTAGGTTAGAACTCAAACCACAAGCGCTGCTCAGACGGACGTGAACTACAGCATTGGCGAGCTCAAACGTCCTGTCCTCAAGCTTTTCAGTCTTTCCGTGTGTGAAGAATTCATGCCTGGCTTTCGTGTCACTAGGCCGAGTGGGCCGTCTTCTTGGCAAAGGCGGCAAGGCGCCTTTAATCCCGGCATGGGGGCACGGTGTTGGGTTACCCGTGGTAGGTCTGGATCGGCCCTCTCCGTGTTCGCACGTGGGTGAGCAATCTGAAGCACGTGAGACCGAAACCTCTTGTTAGTGCAGGTGCTGTGGAGGCTTCCCCCACGCCCAAGAAGTGATGGTGACGGAGGTGCTGGAGCCTTTATTGGGCTTCACTCATGCAAACATCAATTCGAGGCTCAGACTTGTGGCGTTTTTGTGCCTCACTCATATAACCTTCAATCCGACACCGTTAGGATCATCAGGCGCTGCCCGAATCCCTGTAAGATTGAGGATGGGCAATCGGGGGGTGTTAAGGGCTAGCAGGGATAGATTCGATGGGAGAGACAGTTCCTGGAAACATAAGAATCATCAGCGAGAAGCTTCAGGCTCGACGCCGTTTTCGTCGCATGACGTGGTCTACCCGCTTCCTGACAGCAGCTCGAATTCTGGGCTTCGAACCTAACAGTTTTCAGCCCTGGCAAAAAGCCATAATTTTAAGGGTTCTTGGGCCCTAAGGCCATAAATATGGGGATTCGTGGGAAACGAGATTCAAAATGCATCCCACAACATCCCTTCCTGAGGGCTGCGTGTTCCTGTAGTCGCGTGGACCTGCAGTTCTGCTGTCCAGCGACAGTTGCACGACTTAACGATGTTGCCTCTAAAGGCCTTACGCCCCTAACTGCAGATGCTGGATGAGGAGAGGCCGTGGGTCCATAGGGATCATGATCGGATCCTTGGCTCGCAGGCGCAGACTGCCGCAGTGAACGCGAGGCTTCTGAACCTGGAGGCTGAGTCCGAAACACCTGTCATTAGCCGAAGTCCGGCCATATATGCTACGCAGTGAATCCCGAACAAGGCAAGCTTTGTTTAGCTACGTGTTCCTGTGGTCGCGTGGGCCTGCAGTTCTGCTGTCCAACGCAATGGCGTGAATTGACGATGTTGCCTCCGAAGCCTTGAGTCCGATACAAAAGCGCTACAGGAATTCTTCTCCTATGGCGAGCAATAATTTCAGAACCCAAGATCGTACAGTCATGAAGGGGAACCCAGAGCCGCAGAGATGGCAGGCCTTCTGCGTTTTGCAACCAGGTCTTTGTAGGCCTCCCGGCCTCCCGTGTATGACAACCGCAACTCTGCTTAAGGTTTAGCAACTCTGCTTAAGGTTTAGGTCCTTAACGCAGTTAGTTGGCCACCACGAACCCCTTTTGCTTGGAGCTGCAGGTAGTGATATTCCCGCCAACAAGGCCGCCAGGCATGCATGCTCTGCCGGGTTGTGGGTTTCGCGACGTAATGGCGATCGTTGCAAAGCTTCTTTTCTGACATATCAACATCCAAGCCGTCATGTGACAGACGCACGGCTGCAGGCCTTTGGGCGCGCGGGCCCATGACGGGCCCTGCGACCTCTCTATCATATAAGAATGAAGATGGCCGCAAACGTTAAACTTGTCTCCACACATTTAATTCTTTTCACGTGTGCCGTCACCGTCGTTTGAAGCAACCTTCAGCATTGCAGCACGACTTCCGACAAGCGCAAGAGGCATAGAGATGCGTACATTCCGAGTGGGGCCATTGGTGACTT